TTCTTCGACCGTCGCCTTCACCCTTCGTACGTACTCCTTCATGTTCTCTCGATAGAGCTGTGCTGCTTCCGCGTTTGCTGGACTGTGGACATTTCCGTGAGCGTCAAACATAAGAACAACGAGTCAGTAAGTGGGGCAGGAGCACGCCACAAAAGCCTCTTGAGCGCTGTGCAGGCAAAGAAAGACTGCTAACTTGCGGCTTTGCCATTGGAGATTGCCACTGCCATGCAGCGCTGAGCAGCTTTCGCCTCACGAGCTCCTCCCCCCCGGCACCCCAAACCTCATGAAGCCCAACTTGACGACTCACCTGTTGGGATTAGGATCGTGCAGCAAGCTTTGTATGCTAGTGAGTATAGCCGCCACATCATAAGTAGGGCTCCACCTGTTCTGCAAGATATCCAGACAAAGTTCCCCATTGGCATACACATTGGGATGAAACATTCTGCTCAAGAATTTCACCGTCGGAGGTTTGTTGGGATAAGATTCGTCGAATGTCAAGACCAATTTGAAGGTTCCATCTTCGAACGGAGTTTCGGGAGGTCCGAAGATGACGGCGTTCCAGATCAGAAGGTTATCTGCGCAGGGCGCTCCGCTTATACCCCCCGGCGGATCGGTGGAGAGACGCTTAAAGTCCCGAATCAAGCGTCGCTTGGAAGGCGTGGACTGAGGAGCAGGATGTCGTGGTGTTCAGCATACATGCTCAGAATACAGCAGTGCATCAAAGACGTGCTTTGAATTGAAAGCCAGGCTGCTCCCACTCACCATCTTGTGGCCGGGTGACACTGGATCGACTGCGACGCTATCCGATAACCTCGTTTACGACGGTGCTATTGGATTCGACGTCGACTCCTGCACTTGTGATCGATAGCTGCGGACAAGGGGACTGTCCTGACAAAGTGAGAGAGTTGCCTGATGGGACAGACCAAGCTGAAAGGGATGTGAGCTGAAGTGGAGCGAAGAGGTTGTGCTCGAAGTGGAGAATGACTCGACTCGGGCCGGCTAGCAAGTGTACTGCAAGCTAGCCTCTTTCCCCTTGTGAGCTCAAGTGTTGCGTGCGATTTGCACGATACAAATCAAGAATGTGGTTGTATGGAGGAGATTGTGAGGGCAGAAATGAGGTGAGATGAGGTGAGATGATGTGAGATGAGGTGTGAAAGATGATAACTGGGATGGTGCGTGCATGTGCATGTGCATGCGTATGCGTGCACATCGCTGCACGCACGCACGCGCGCATGTCAGGGCAGCAGCTGCATCATGGCTTGCTGGTTGTCCTTGCCCGCCGCCTCACCGCATCCACGTGGAGGGTGTGTGGCGTTGGCTCGTGTGATGCTTGTCAGAGCATCGCACTCGTGACTCGTGCTGAGTGAGTCTACGCATGAGTGGGGCGCATACATCAGCATGACAACAAGCTGGCAACCTGGCATCATCGCCATCATCATCGCCATCAAAGCTCTCGGGCACATGCGATCCTTTCAAAAGCAAAGTCAAGGCTCCTTGCGCTACCAACTCCACTCGCAACTTGCGTCTTGTTCTGTATCTGCAGCGTAAAAGGCGCAAAAGGCGCTCCATTCACTCATTCATTCATTCTGTCCATTCACTCTGCAAGACCAATCACCCACGCTCACATCTCACCGCATCGCGGTTCAAGCTCGTCAAGATGGGTGGCGGGTGAGTTGTACTGATGCGATCCCCCTTTTTTCTTCTCTCTCTCTCTTCTCGATGCAGTCTCGAAACGAAGCTGCTCAAGGCTGACGAATCTTGTTTCCTGCACTCCCAGTGACCTTAACATGAAAAAGTCGTGGCATCCGCTCTTGCATTCCAATCAGGAAAAAGTGTGGAAGCAAGAAAAGGCGGCCTTAGCAGAGCGACGCAAATTGGAAGAGCTGAAGAGGGAGAGGGATCAAGAGAGGGAGATGATGGAACTTCAACGCATACAGGAAGCTGCTGGTGGTAAAAAGAGGGTGGAAAAGTTGGATTGGATGTATGCTACGCCCGCTAGCAATGCTGGACCCAATGCTGGCGAGTTGGAAGATTATCTGCTCGGCAAAAAGAGGATCGATAAGCTTTTGAAACAGGATGAGATGGCCAGAGTGAGTGCCGCGAGGAAGAGCATGCGTGAGGATCTTTTGCCGCTTGGAAGCCCTCCCCAAATATGTGCATCCGCGCAATTCTGATATCCTTTTGTGTCCCCGCTCTCTTGTGTCGCAGGTGTCCAAACATGACAGCACGGGTCCAGGATCGGGTGCACCGGCAGGCCCAAGCTCGTCCATGAACGCAGCTCGAGACGTATCCAACAAGATTCGCGACGATCCGCTCATGTCTATCAAAGCGCAAGAAGCTGCAGCATATCAAGCTCTGCTGAAAGATCCCGCACGTCTCAAAGCTCTCAAAGCTGCTGCTGCTGCCAAGGGCGGAGATGGTCCTCCCGCGGAAGGGGAGAGCAAGGAAGAGAGGAGAAGACGTAAAGAGGAAAAGAGAAGAAGGAAGGAAGAGAGAGAAGGTAGGAGGGATGAGGATCGGCAGCGTGAAAGTGATCGGTACAGGGATGCGCGAAGGGAGGAAGATCGGTCTGGACGTCGAGATCGGGACGCATACTCTGGGAGAATGGAAGATCGCGGTGGACGTCGCGAGCGATCTGATTGGTCGGATCGTGCACATCGGGACGAGCGAGAAGACAGGCATCAAAGGGATTACGAGAGGTCTCGATGGGACGATTGGTACGATCGAGGAGGCTATCGAGAAGGAGATTCATCTACTCAGCGTCGAGCTTCGTCTGGACGAGATGCTCGTCATTTCATCGACCGACGTCAACCATCCTCAGCGCCTCGTCCACATTCTCGCTCTCCATCGCGCAACGACGGTGCACGGTCTCGTTCTCGATCTCCGATTCGTCCTGCGCCAGCGCCTGCTCCTTCCGTCGACGCTCGCTCCTCCTACACAGCCGCGTCGGAGCGAGAAGCAAAATTAGCAGCCATGCAATCCAATGCGAGTGCGTTGAACGCATCGCGTCGTTCTCAATTGGAGAGGGTGCGCGTTGCGGAAGAGGCGGAATTGGTCAGGGAGGAAGAGGTGCGCAGAAAGTTGGCTTGTAGGAGAGAAAAGGCGGGAGGTGGAGAAGAGGCTGGAAAGGCTAGTTTTGTTTTGGAGCAGCAGAGATTGGCTTATGGTATGGGCATGGGTACGGGCGCGGGTGCGAAAGGACAAAAGGATATGGAGATGGATTTGGCTCAGAGACTTAGGAGGGGAGGAAGGGAAGGATTGCAGAGGATGGGTGCGGA